TTTTCCTCCTAGATCATGTTTGCTTGGGAAAGATCGAAGATTTATATACATTTAATGACTTTTTTTAAATCACTCACATAATAGTATATAAGATAATCACTGACTGACCTGCTTTAAAGTTAAAAAAGCCTAAATAAATAAAACTTAAGCAGATTTCACCGAAGTTAATACGTAGTGATAATAGCTGAGTGCTTCTTTTGAGTCGCCTTTCATTGCGTAAACGGGTCCAACATTATTATAGATGATATTTTTCGTATCAATATCACTCTGTTCTAATTCTTGTAGTAGCAGTTTACTATATAGTTCAGCCTTCTCTTGTTCTCCTATTACATTCAAAAAATGTCCAAAAGTTAATCGTGTTGCACGCTCACCAATTGCTTCTTCATATCGTTTCGATAATATTTCAGTCAATTCTTCGTCATCCTGTTTGCTGTAGATGAGACAAATAGACCATACTTGATCACTCAGAATTTTAACTGATTTAATTCGAAAGATAGTTCCTAACGAAAACAATAATTCATCTGGATCATGTGCATTAATATTAGCAAATGGTTTCTTCATTGCTGTTGGATCGAAAGTGAAGGTAAAAATGATCGATTCAAAATCTGGATAATCTGAACTATTTCAGCAAAAATACGAGCAGTATCCAAGGAGTACGTAGCAGAAAAACATGTATTCATCGAAACAAAGCCACCGATATTGCTTCTGAATGTTTCCAAACTTTCTTTACTCATTAACTGCCCTCTGTAAACTTGTAGATGCTTAATATTTGAATATAAAATATTCTGAAACCACATTGAATGCTTTTCATCTATCTGTTTACATAAGTCACAAACATTTGAGCGAAATTTAAACAAGGATTTTGGATTATCAGATCGAACAGCTTCATTCATTGAATAAGCCACTTTACTATCGTACATTCGATTTGACTCATTTTTACTGGTTGAAATGGGCGTATTTACTAAGAAGTCAATTACAAATTGATACCACATGAAGTTAATTTGTTCATTAGAAGGTTTGACTGTATATATACACATGTGCGGCATACAGATATTATTTTTCACATAGATGTCAATATCTTTCGTCAGTAAATCTTCTA